ATAATTTTATGGGTTCTTGGTGTTAAAGAAATCCCAAATTGTTGTGACTACAGTTCACAACTGCACCGTAATTTTGAGCATTTCAAATTTATGAGTTCTTGGTGAAATGATTCAAATGTAACAACTTGAAAGAAAACATTTACCATCAAAACACTAAGCATTAGTTTTAAGATTCATCAATGTAACTGATTCACTCATTACCTGTACTATTTATCATATCTACACCGACCTTTTGAATTATCTTTTTATATTCAGGTTATGTTGGCTATTACAATTTAAGTAGTCTTAATGATTTGGTTTATTCGCCTCAGTATAATCACTTAGCTCCAGTGAAAATGTCACGTCTAACAAGCAGTCCAATCACAGCACTGTCTCTCCATCCTCTTAATGGAAAAATGTTGTATGTACAAGGTAGGTACATGTATTATTGTTATTATTATTATTATAACCATATTTAGTAATTTAACTTTTGATCCCATGTCTAGTTAATTTTGTTAGTTGAAGGCCATAGATGAGAGGGTTTTAAAACTGTCATAACAACGTAAATATTTCCACTTTTTACTGTCCTCTAAATGTCAGTTAATCATCATCAGCGTTGAGCCTGGAACAGATGTGTGTTTGTCCAGGTTGTTGTACAACATCAAGATAACGAAATGAATATCAAAATGGATCGAAATAATGTAGTAGCGATGATAATTAGAAATAAGGAACATCGGAAATAAGGTTCTAAAAGTTAGTAAAATGATCATGTATTAAGGGACATTGGAATTCATGATCTAGAGGAAGACATACAGTAAATGCATCTGCTTTGTTGTGAAAAATTCTGAGCCATTTCACCTATAGCCTTCAACCACTGATTACCATTATTACACAGACTCAAACCAGGTCATCCATATCTGCCGATATAGCTCAAAACGAACAATCTATGGTAGCTAAATGTTGAACATATTATTATTTATTTTTCCTTCTTTCATTCCTTTTTTAAATTTAGGATACTTTTTCTTTTAACTTTTGCTTCTTTTTCGTTATCAATTCTAACCGCTTGAATCTAATAACTTTATTTAATTGGTCTTACATTATTGTATTTTTATTTTTATTAGGTTATTTATTACATCTTTTAATGAAACTTAAAGTTAATCTTACAAATTATACTTATAATCTGCAGAAAGACGTTTATTTTGATCTATTCTGTTGATGAGAAAACTTTGGAAAGTAATTTCAATAATGATTGTCTCATCATAACAGAAGTTAAAAATGGACTATTTCTAGTTATTGGATCTTTTAAAATCCATAAATTATTAAAATTGTTCAGCGATTAACCCCAAGTAAAAATAAGCAATTTTAGTTGTATCTGTTTGTATCAATCAGTATGTTTAACTGAAACTGGAATTTTTTTATCCACGTTTACCACTAACATATGTACTCTTTTTCATAATTCATTGTTTTATCTGTAAGACTTGGTCATCTTTACTCTTACATCTGTCTCTGATCATTTTTATGTATTAAATGTCATATCTAACGAAAATTTTTGTAAATGTTTAACTAAATGCTTAAGTGTGACGATAGGCTACATAAAACCCTCCTTAACGATGCTGTGGATATTTTCTTGTCTTTTATTGCTACAGAAATCTACTATAGATTCCTAGAGATTTTCACGAGAACAATCTAATTAGAATTAAGGTAGATGGTTCCCTCATTTTTATAAAATCTATAAATTTTATTATGAATGGTCCTTAGGTAGTGTTTAGATACATATTGGCATTAAGTTTATTTTGTCGGAGTAGTTCTCAAGTTAAAATGTTTACTGTTATCAAATAATTGGAAATACATTTATTTAAGCAGGAATTTTGTAAAGTTTTTGTGTAGCTCGTGTTAATGAGTCACAGAGAAGGATCAATGATAGATCCTAGTTTCTACCTTTAGATGCTTCCAACTACCTAATACCCTTGATCTCATGAATCAAATGTAATCTTATTTGATGTTCAAAAACTCGTATAAATTTTTGTTTTCATTCAAATACATTAGGGTTTAAGCACTAACTCTGACGTTAAACATTTATTCAACTTTCACACCATACTTTTGTACATGTTATTGTTATTTGTTATATTTATTTATTTAGCCTTAGAACGTATCGGTGGTATCTGGGATTTGAATGACTCTGTATGTTTCACTTCAGAGTCAGCTGAAATCAGTTGGAATCCAGTACATGGTTTTATGGGACGTGAAGGAATGTGGATTAGTAATGGTGAATTTTTAGTTGGTTCACGTGAAACGTGGTTTACTTCGACATCATGTAAAAACACTCAATTTCCCAAATGGTCTGCATTGTTTGATACTATGGATAACTGTATTGGTCAGTTTTTACCTGCTGAACCAATTGATGGTTGTAGCCATTTAATACCATTGGGAATCCAGTCACTTACGGTAAGAAAACCTATTTTTGGAAATGCCTAATGACATAAAATAAGTATAATCTTGTATAACTGACTGATTTCATTCATTTGTCTCAGGATTTATAATTCATCACTAACAATTACTCAGTCGGTCAAACATAAAACGCTCAGTTGTAAGTTCAAACCTACTACACTCACTGGTATAAATCACGCAATAATGCCCATAACCCTCATGCAATAATCCCAGCTTACACCTTAACATGTTATGATACTTCCAGATGAAAATTTTAACTTCAAGTTTAGTTTTGAGGAGTTTTGGAGATAAAAAGACCTCAAGCAATCGTTTTCTAATATTTTATTTTATACTATTAAATCACTCGGAAATTAGGATCAACACTGTTAAAAATCGCCTCTGAACTGGTTTATTGTATAGCTTCTACAAAGTATAAACTCAAACTAAATTATAAAAAAATAAGCAAATTAAAATGTTGATCAATTCACTCATGATTATTTACCATAGATTAGAGGAAGCTGCTTAACTGTTATCATTTATAGTTATAAATCTTTAATGTTGCAAAGTGTGATTTACAATCAAACTGATGGTAAGCAATATATTACAATAATTAATTAAATGGTTTTAAATTGTTTACAGGAATCAATGTTTCATTCCTAATAACGTCTACGGGCCTCCACTTAGATGTCGATGATTTTATGTCCTATTCACTTGATTTTATAATGGATATTAGATTTTAGGTCTGCTTTATTCTTCAATCCCTTGTTGTGTTTATGGAAGCAGTTCTAGTAATTCATAATACACAAAACTATTACTTGTACTCATGTTGTGAGTCCTAGTATACGGACTATTTGTGTGATGGTGGTAGATGTTTGATGGAAAACTGCAAAGCTAAAAATCATGACGTGTTAAAAACAAATGTATGTTAGATAGGCGTTTTATGCAATAAGTTGTGTATAATTCAGTGAGATTTCCAACTTTTGGTTCTAACGATATAATTCTTTCGATCATATAGATGGATAGTAGTATTTTTGAAGTAGACTACTGCGATTGGTGTTTTTAATTTAATAAATCGTAACCTGCTTTATAAATTGCTTTCATCATCATGTTTATTCATTGCTTATATGTCCTTATGGAATTAAAACTTAAAAACTTAATGTATTTATACGATTGTTCAGCTTGATAATCGACTCGTTGAAAAGCGATCCCTTCGCTGAACTTCATGTTTTCAATGTCTGAATAGGAATTATATGTTTACTCAGAGAATTATTAAAAATCAGAAATCATGGGATGGTAGTTTCAGAAGGAAAAATCAAACAGGATATCAGTCAAATAGTGAACTATCAGGTTGATGTACAAGAAGGATTTGTAATGTTAACAGTTTGGAAATGATTATTGCTTTGTCGTAACCATGTATGCCGAAAAAGAGATCTTAAAACGTTTGGAAGAATATCTGAGTGTCATTTATTTACAAGCGACAAATCATTTTCATTTGAAGATGGTCACATGAATTTTGTGATATAAATTAGGAGAGTTTTCTCGCCCTATTAAAACATATTCTCACCAAAAACAGAAAGCTGGAGAGTTCAGTGTAATGTAAACGTTTTGATTGGAAACCATCCTCCTCAATGTAAATCTGTAGCGTAGCTGGGATGGTGGTTGTTCGAGGAAACCTTATCGTTCTCAATTTAAATCTCTCCGGTAGTATAACTTCATCCGCATATTGTCATTTTAATGCATAACACTAACATTATAGGGATAGCGGGTTTTATTTTATTCCTGTTCAACCAGCCTTCATGATATTATACGGTCCTAGAAAAAAAGCATTTCACCCAGTTCACCCGGACTAAATTATTGTTACGGGTGAGATCAACCGTCAAGTGGTGTGAAAGCTGACAGTCGAAGATAAGATCCAGAACCTGAATTTTCCGCGTTGCGAAGCTTAACATTTAACCATTGAACCTCCTTTCATTGATTTGCGTTTTTCGACTTCATTCAAGTCTTGTGCTGTAGCGCAAATGATAATATAGTACGTCTTAGTAAATTCCGTTAATATAAATATCGTGACCCTCTTATAAGGAAGTATGATTCTTTTGACGAAGTTGGAATTACAAGCATATACAAATGAATGTTTGTCTCACTTTACTGTTGTTTGACAAGATATGAATCATATAATTCTTATTTAATACCTGAATGCTTAGCTGCTTGCATGGTACTCTGCAAGACTACTTTTATTGCTTCTTAAGAAACAACTACATGGTGCTCAAAAGTTTTCAATAGCTTTCATGTTAATCAAATTAGATGGTGGTTGGAGGTAGTCGACAGGAAACCCTGGACCCGGGTTTCGTGCTACTTGGCACTCGTCAGCAAGGTGTACCTGTAATCTTTGAGGGAACTGGTGCTCCCTGGCGGATTCGATCCCGTGTCACCCAGCTTCACAGTCAGAGACGTCACCACTGAGCTATCCGGGCCGCGACCGACCTCCTGTAGGACTGACATGTAATCACAATTGATTGATCACTCGGTGACCAATGTCATGCGTGTCTAGGTTCGGCATCGAGTGTTCGGTCACAGAGACGATAATGAAATTGGTGTCACCATCTTGAAACACCGACTTCGGTGGCTTGGACATGTTCTACGAATGTCGTCCCAGAGAATTCCACGTCGTGCATTATTTGCCGACTCTGGAACTGGTTGGAAAAAGCGGAGAGGTGGTCAGTATATGACATGGTGTCGTGGTATGAAAGAAAGCTGCAAAGGGCTAGCTTCTGTTGGTCCTTCACGACTCCCTGGTTGGGGTCCGAGAGACGGTGTAACGCAGTGGCTAGAGACGTTATCAGATATGGCTCAGAATAGAAGCCAGTGGCGATCCTGCTGTAACCTTCTTTTACTTTCTTCATAAAAAGTGGTTGTATCTTCCTTAACTGAAAGATCTCTTCTGATTGTACCTTTCCGTTTCCCCCACCATTGTTGTTTCTCTCTTTTTTTTTATAATTCCCCACGTTCATTGCTTTTTTTTCTCTTTTCTCCTTCTCTTCAAATTATCATTGTTTTTTGTGGCGCATATATATTTGGTGCCCCCTGTACCAATATTTATGTGTTAAAATAAATAATAAATAATACTAGTCCTTCTAGTCCCTCTAATCTTACAATAGTTCCCGCGGTGTCCAGTCACCTAGACTGGTGGCCACATTGCAACATGATCGATAGCATTCGATCTGCACTGATAATAAGGACTAGACACGCATGACATTGGTCACCCAGTGATCAATCAATTGTGATGTTAATCAAATTTCTGAGTGACCTGATTTAATATTCTGAATGGTTTCAATGGTAAGCAAACTTTTATTTCATGTTTGTTACTGTCGATTGATTTATGGAAAATTTTAGAGGAATATATCAAGTTAATATGTCTCCAAGTTGAAAGGAATTTAAACATTAAATTCAAAATCTGTCATGATATTGCTCCTCATAGGGTTGAGGAAAATATGTATGATGGAGATTAATATCTTACAGAATACGTAGACTCCGTTGTAAATTAAATTAAAATAGATCACTGATATAACCTGAGATATTTTATTGAATTCTTATTAACCTTAATCTTATAACTATATTAGCGTCTGCCATTCTACATAGTTATACTTGGCTCACACCACAACTCATAAATTGGTCACTTGTTTGCTGGATACGAACGAAGCTAGTCTATACAATAACTATGTAGGAATGAGGACATTTGCATCCTATGTGTTTACGTTTACTAATAGAGAGATGCATACATTATCTACTGGGTTGGAATTCGAGGTCCGAATGTATATTTATATATATCACCAGAAGTCCAAGAATCCGAATTATTTTAATTATACTGTACTCATTAGTAGACTGCCAATATCAAATGAAAGTAATATTATAATGGTGTATTTATTCTTGGAACTGTCCTTTTCGAAGTTTGACGGAATACATTAAATCAAATATATGACATATTGCACGATGAAATTCTTTTCAATTGTTGTAATTGACTTTTCGTCGTTAAGCATTTCTATTATGTGCATAGTTGTTCAAAATCCAACTTGTAGGCGGATATGTAAATTGATTTAGCTGGATGTGTATATTGGTTTATTATTGGCTGATTTGATCTCAAATAAATAAATGTGTTTTTCATATTTCATGTGTTTCGTTGTTGTGAAAACTCTAACCACAATGATTATTCTATAGTTGTTTTCTTTCTGTTTTTGCAAGTAATTGTTGTTATTCTCTCGACACTTACTTTTCGTTTGTTTATTTTTTCCATGTACTCATCTTTACATTGGCTAATAGAGTGTGGATTTCAGTGATTCTCTCAATGCACTTGTGTGTAGTACAGACAGAGGACGTATTGAAGTGATTGCTGAGTCTGTAGAGAAGCGAAAGTGTGATCCTTCACGTCCAAAATATATTCCTGAGGTTAGATTTTTGAAAAAATCTCTTTTTTTTTACTTTGAATCTACTTTTAGAAATACTTGCGAATATATATCCGCGTATACCCTTATATATAAGTGCTTGACAGTTATTAATGTATGTTATTATTTTTTTGTCCATCCTAAGAAACATTTTTGGTTGTGTATTGATCAATAATATGTGTTAGGTATTAGAAGTCAGTTGATGGTGAAGCCATAATATTGATTATGTGATTAAATCAGTAGTGGAAAACAGGTTACGGCCTGAAATAATCAATGCCACATTCGATTCTCAGCGGTTAGATCAACGCAAATGGAGATAAATCTAACCAAATCCCAAAATAAAACGAAACACCCATTCTTGATTGGACTGGTTCCCATATTCTAAGCACATAATAAAACTTTTAAATGTGACTGTTAATACTCAAGAATATGATACTCTTATGCATACGCCTGTTGGCTTTTGAATTCTAACTGCCTTTACTGTATCGCTCATCACCTGGGGAATATATTTTTAGGACTTGTGATATAACACGGCTATCTAAACCGACGTGAGTAAATTGTATTGAAATCAGTAGTTCATCTGTTGATAATCGAGCGCTGTTAACCAAGAAGTCGCTTCAATAATCTGATATACAGTATGCATCGCATGATTCAGGGCAACCAGATAGAATTACTCCCACTGAATTTTTAGCAATAGCATCTCTAATCGCTACTATGATACAAGTTCGAACCTTTGAGAAATCATTGGGTTTCTCAATCCTGCGAACAACATCTTGTTAGTTTAAGTGGAAGCAATTGAGAAAACAGATTATTAGTTCTTTTGTCGATTAATTTAAAACAAAGTCTAAAAATAATTATCTGAAAGTCACTAGACTTGGCTGATGGGATAAATTTACATTTCTTGATAGGTAAACCTTGATTAATACATTGGGCTGGTTAGTAGCCAAGTACTAATTTATAATTTTATTTTTTTGGCATCCCGACGCCTGAACTAAAAATTCATCATCTAGTTTTAACTGTAATCAGTACTCTTTTATTATATTTACCCCACTCTTTTTTGGTTGACCATTTCTAATCAATAGAGGTTATTTAATGCGATCTTAGGTCAACTTATCGCAAATGGTGTAGTTAAACTATCAATTCCTTTTGTTTCTCTTTATGATTTTAATCGTTGGAAAGTTCTTATCATAATGAAAATACATATATGGATGATGGATGTTATTTGCAATTATTTCCCATTAGCTTCTACAGCTAAAAATGCAAATTAGTTTTCCAAAGAGAACCAATTTAAAGGGTCGTAACGACACTTTATATTTTGTGTAACTATTATGACAGGTCATAATCCTAATGCTATTCATTTCGAAAGTGTGGAGGTAGTAATGAAATCTGTAAAATATTAGTTAACAACTTATAATTATTATTTGTGGGATTATTTTCACTTAAACATTGTTTATTTTGTCATACTAGGTCTAGATACAGTGTAATTGACTGATTCTGAATTCATCCTATCAGATAATATAAATTACGAAATTGGGATTTATAAATTTGGTCCTAACACTACTTCGTGTCTGTTCACAATCCTTCATACAGAACAGACATGGTTCCATTGTATCTCAATGATCTCCATGGCTTTGGTTTGTAAAGTGTTGACTGAAAACATGAAATAAGTAGTATATATCTTTAAAATAAATTTTCATCGATGTGATTTATTACAATAAGGTAGTTCATGTTAAGAAACATCTACTTGCCTAGATGTGTTTTAATAAAGTATTTAGATAAAATTCAGTAGTTAAAGACAATCTCTCGTACTCGGTTTTATGTCACAAGTATTATTTGATCTTACTGGGAAGTTGTAGCTGGTGCAAGGTCTATACCAGTAAATAAGTGTTCGAAGTCTAATCACAGGTTACCTTCCTTGAAAATAATTACGTTGCGAAGCATGTTGTCTTACTCTTAGTCCTTCTTTGTGCAGTTTTTCTTTTTCTTTGCTATCTTTATTGTATTTAGCAGTTCTTTATTTAATAGTAGTGTAGTGAAGCAGAATACTGGTGAGGACAACCGAATTGTAGTTAGCTCAAATTACAGAGTTAATTGGTAAAATAGAAAAACCATATATTAAATCGTTAATTTGCAAAATATCAATCCATTGACTGACATTTCATTGTTCATGAGTTTTCATACAAATTCCATTGTGTTCCCGCTCTTCCTTTCTTGATCTTCCCCCATCTTCTGCTGTCAGACATTACGTTTTTAACGCGCGTCATATACTACTTATTATATCAATATAAGTAACGCGCACCACAGTAGTAACTAAAATTAAAAATTTGTTTGACGATTCTTGAGCTGACATTTAAGCCTACAAATAATAAGGCTAATTTGTGTAATTTTGTTCATTTGGCTTAGAAAACTTCAATATATTTTGTGAGATTTATGCAAAAATAGATTTAATGTAATATTCATTTAAAACTTACCACAGTATCACACTGCACAGCGTAGACTCTGATTTACTGAGTAACTGTCAAGCAATTCACTTTTTTACTGTACTAACACAAATAAATTGCAAGGAAAGCAAACATTTTAACAAAATTGTTGATGATGCAACTACGACTACTCTTTATCTATATCGATCATTATGTATCACTTCTATTGTATAGTAGGTTTACAGGAAGTGGCGGTATTTTGCTAGAACAAAACATATTTGTCACAATATTCTATCGACAATATATTTTATTTGTTAATTAAAATTAATTTAAAAAACGTGGAAAGGCTGACAACATTAATTTTAACTCTACCAGATTTGTGTGTAGCCGACTAAGTACATGAAAATCAAGTGGATGATATCTATTCATTAAAGTCGACTTGAATAAATTATTCGCATGCATTTCGAAGCAGTGGTTGACTATTCCAATCAATAGTGGACTGGCAGATACTATTCTGACTATTTTCTCAATATTTGGAAATTCGTTTTCTATAACACTTCGTTTCATTTAACATTTATTAGTTAGATTTGCATGCATAGGATAGAAATGACATTTTCGCTTTGAGCATTAAGGATAGAAGTCGTTCTTTGCAGCATTAGATTTCTGTCTAGTTTGCTTCTAAATTTTGATACGTACTACATTCATATCTACTTATCCTATCCCCATCCCTCACATCGTTCCCACCATCGTGGGGAAGCCACTAGACTATCTTCAGTGTTACCCCAGCTTGGATCAACATATTATTCATCCGAAACGACACCTTCAGAGCTGGCTACTTAGATACAAGGCTCATAGATTCTCTGGCTGCTTCCGAAATACTGGCTTTGTGAACACCCTTCAAAATCACAACAAACCATTAGGATGACCAGCTAAATAAAAATTAAAGTGCGCACGTTATTGTGAGGTCGGTTATCATAAACATAAGACAAGCGATCTCACGCTTATCCCTTACAGACTTCCTCATCATCTGAACCTGAATCAGTAACGTCTACAGACTTGTTTTTAACAATACATGGCCTTCTGATCCAAAACAGCCACGATCAATAGTGGTATAGACCACTTCTCAAGTATCACCTATTCAGCGCTCCTTGAACGGTCATCTGTTATCCTCAGTACTATTTTCTCCTGCCTAGATAGCATTCTTGTATCACAGTAGATTAGTGTCACTCATCACTACTTGCACCACTTGCGATAAAATGTACATAAACAAGAATCCCATACACCAGACAGCATTTCACCTATATTATCATACCATGCACCACAGCAATACAAATCCATATATACACCACAGAAAGTTAGAGAACCAATTATCGTCCACTCAACCTTTTTACTGCCTTCAATGCTGATCATCCCAGTCAATCAAGCTTCTCATCATCAACATAATCGATGGATGTCAGACTAGGGTTGTGGCTGTGACTATAATCTCCAAACATACTTTTGTGCGACCGACTAAATTCCTGTGTCATAATTGCCGATCACGTCAGGAAGCTTTCAGCCTTTCATCTGAACGAATAATCACATCAATCACATAGACCGTCTCATCTTTCGAGTCCTCTCAAACAGCCTTCTAGCTCATTAGTCACTCGATTATCCCTCGTTATATGAAGCTTTTTTTAACCAC